CAGAAGGCTGGCAGTTCAAACCCACCAGCCACTCCTTGGAAGGAAGGTTGGGCAATCTACTTCCGTAGTGATACCGCCTCAGAAACCCAAGGAGGGGGTCTCTATGTCAGGAGGGAGTCAGGTCTGACTCAACGGCACATAACAACAACAACAACTAACTACTCATCCACCAGAGGGAAGAAAAAAAAAAGAAATGAGTCTCTTCTGTACCGGGGAGCATGTATAAGCATCTGTAAGCATGGACAAATGGTCCAGATGGCAAAGTGCTTTCAGGAGCAGGAGTCAGAACCACAAGGTGAAGGGGACTTCATCACAACTCATTTTCTGAAACAGTCTCTTTACCTTCTTTTTCTTGATCCAGGTATTTCTTTATGTTTTCTGCTCTATCCATGTAGTCAGAAATTTTTTTTCTGAGATTATATTTCTTTGTGTCATCTTTGGTACCTATAAATTAGAAAATATATTCTCAAGTTTTCAGAACAGTTTTTCTATTTAGTACAGGCATTATGTCCGGTTTCCCAAATTTTCCAAACATTTTTGTCCTTTAGCATGATTTGGCTCACTGCTAAAATACACAGATGATAGGCTCAAATTAGGATTGATTGTGCAGGACCTTCAGTTTTGCACCAAGCATCTGAAGCATCTTTAGGATTAGGGACTCTAATAATGTGACTCCCCTCTGGGGACACCTGGTAGGTTGAGAAAGGTGGCTATTATATGTCAGACCTGGGTCTGAGCAGCATTTTGTCCTGATTGTTTACACATCTTTTCCACTACAAAACCAACTTCTCTTCCAGACTTCCTATTATATAATTAATGCTCATTTTCCCAGCACCTCAAGAATATATGTTATGTTTGAATATACATTGTCAATAAAATCTTACTCAAGCCCCTCACCAAATCACTTCCCCTTCCTTCTGATACTGTTGTGTTTTCCATAAAAATTTCATTTTTAATCTCCCAGTTTTGTAACATTTTACTTTGAATTAATTTTGTATTTACAATAAAGTTATAAACAATACTCTTGCAGATTCCCCCAGTGCTAACACATTACATAGCCATAGTATAATTATGACAGCCAAGAAATTAACCTTGATGTAATACTATTAACTCATCTACAAACCTTATTCAGCTTTCACCAATTTTCCCACTAAAAAAAGTTATTTTTTCAGTCCAGGATCCCGCATTGCATTTAGTTGTTACATCTCCTTAGTATCCTCCAATGTGTAACAGCATTTTAGTCTTTCCTTGTTTTTTGTGACTGTGAGACACTTATGAAGAGTATTGGACAGTTACTTTGTAGAATGTTTCAATTTGGGTTGTCTGACGTTTAGATGTCTGATGATTAGATTGAGGTTATGCACTTTGTGGCAAGAAAATCACAGAAGTGGCATGCCTGTCTCAGTACAAGATGTTGTTTTGTCTTATTACTGGTGACGTTAACTTTGATCACTTGATTAAGGGGAATTCATAAATTTCTCCATTGTAAAGTCACTATTCTCACCTTGGTAATTAATACATGGGAACTCTGGTGGCATAGTGCCTAACGCATTTGACTGCTAACCAGAAGGCTGGTGGTTCAAACCCCCTAGCCCCTCCTCGGAAGGAAGATTGGGCAACCTACTTCCGTTGTGATACTGCCTCAGAAACCCAAGAAGGGGTTGCTGTGAGTCAGATCCAACTCGACAACAGTAAGTTTGGTCTGGCTTTTGAATTAATATGTATCTGGTGGAGAGACACTCTGAGACTCTGCAGAGTCTGTTTCTCATCATTCTTTTGCCCACTAATTTAGCATCCATTGATGGCTCTTGCCTGCAACAGTTACTACTATGGTGTTCGCCAAATGGCAATCTACTTCCATCATTTCTTCTACATTTATTGATTGGGATTTTTCTGTAAGGGAGAGCTGTCCCTTCTCTCCATCTATTGTATTCAATTATTTTTATCAGTATACACTCACAAAAATTCTTTTATGTCTTATGACCCAATACTATGATTACTTGCTTACTCAAATTTTATTAGCTTTGGCTTTGAAAGCACCTGCATATTAGCTTTTGTGTGCTTTCAACAGATCCCCACCAATTTTTGAGCACTTCCTCATTTTCTGGTGCAAGATTTTCCATGCCCCAGAAAGAAATGGAAACAACCATTTCTCCAAGGATTCCTGGTTCCTTTTAATGAAGAACAGTACTGAGTAACCAAATTTTGGGCACTAGGTGTGCTCATTGTTACTGGGGTGGAGTCCCATCACCAGTTCTAGATCCTCTCAGCTGACAGAGCTAGAAAGTACATATAGGTTTACTAACACACACATACATCTGTATTTATTGCTCTATCTACCATTAATACATATATTAAAAACCATGACTTCATGCTGATAAACTTTAATTCCATAGAGTTCATTCTAGCTTCCCCCCTTTCCTTATTTGTAACATTTTTCTTATTATCCACAATATATTTATTTGCTCAGTCCTACTAAAGTAGTTCCAAAATTACTAAATGATACCCATTAGAAACAAATTTACCAACTAGAATACATTATTTGTTTCATCTTTAACCTTACAGAACGTCAAAATACTATTTTCTTATTTCATGATAGTGATTTTATTTATTTATTAAAAAATTTATTGTGATTTGGATGAAAGTTTACAGAGCAAATTCATCTTCCATACAGCAGTTCACATACATTGTGTCTCATGACATTGACTGCAATCTCCCACAATACAACAGCTCTCCTCCCACTTCCTCCCCATAGCCACCTCTTCCCTGTGTCCTTGGCTCCCAGGCACTCCTCCCCCCAAGCTGTCTCTCTGTGCATACACAGCCCTCCTAGTCTTCATGATCTCTCCAAAGAGTGTAACTACCTAATGTAAATGTTCAGCTCATATGCCTGTCTTTTGTTTGTTGTTTGGCTAGAACTACAGGAGTGGGTTCAATTCCAGACCTGTAAGGCAGCTAGGGGTTCCACCAGGCTATATCAGACCAGAAAACCTGGTCCTTTTTTTTTTTTTTTAAATAGTTTTGAGTTTTGTTCCACATTGTTCTCCCACTCTATCCAAGATCTCAACATAGATCCCCCTCCAAGTTCAAAATACTATTTTTCAAAGATTCTTAGATTACCTATTTTCTTCCCCACCTCCTTAATCATACATATTACAAATGAGTAAGATAGAGAAGTGTCACCTCCTCCTTACCCTTGCCACCCACTACCATCCCCTTCTTTCTACCTCTTTTCCTACCCACAGTACTTTAGGTAATCAATCCAATTAGTTTCTGGTTTTATGCTTCCTGTATTTCTTTTAGTGAGCTCTGGGTAGCATAGGGGGTAAGCCATTTTGGGCTGCTGAACAGAAGATTGGCAATTCAAACCCACCAGCTGTTCCGTGGGAGGAAGATGAGACTGCTAACCAGAAAACTGGGGCTTCAAACCCACCAGCCACTCCTTAGAAGGAATACTGGGCAGTCTACGTCTGTAGAGATACCACCTCAGAAACCCAAGGAGGGGTCACTATGAGTTGGCTCTGACTCAACAGCAGTGAGGTTTTTTTTTTTTTTTTTTCAGTAAATATAACCTTGAAGTGTCCTGTTTGTTGTCAGGATCAGGCATTTTAGAGTCCCTGGGTGGTACAAATGGTTAACATGCTCGGCTCCTAATTGAAAGGTTAAAGCTTCAAGTCCACCCAGAGGTGCCACAGAAAAAAGGCCTAACAATCTGCTTCCAAAAAAAAAAAAAAAATCAGCCACTCAACACCCTATATAAGGAGCTCTGGTGGCATAGTGCCTAAGGCACTTGGCTGCTACCAGAAGGCTGGCGGTTCAAACCCACCAGCCACTCCATAGAAGGAAGACAGGGCAATCTACTGCCATAAAGATTTACCACCTCTGAAACTCAAAAGGTGTCACTATGAGTCGGAATTGATTCGATGGCAGTGAAGGTTTTTTTGGTTTTTAAACACCCCATAGAGCACAGTTCCACTCTGACATACATGGGGTCAACAGGAGTTGGAATCAAGGGTCAATTGGTTGGTTTTCAGCACTGAACAACTACAGATAGAAAAAAATCTCACTGTTGTTGCACACAGTCCTGTGCATTTCTCACACAGAATTCTGGTACATGTTTCTTAAGAAAACTTTCTTTTGCCACTTGTTGTTAGGTGCTGTCATGTTGGCTCCTACTCATAGCAACTCTATGTACAACAGAACGAAACACTGCCCTGTCCTGCGCCAGCCTCACAATCCTTTCTATACCTGAGCCCCATAGTTGTAGCCACTGTATCAATCCATCTCGTTGAGGGCCTTCCCCTTTTTCATGCTCTCCAGGGAATGGTTCCTTCTGACAACATGTCCAAAGTAGGTGAGAAGAAGTCTGGCTATTCTTGCTTCCAAGGAGCATTCTGGCTGCACTTCCTCCAGAACAGATTCTTCTGGGAGTCCATGGTATTTTCATTATTCTTCGCCAACATCACAACTCAGAAGTATAAGCTCTTCTTCAGTCTTCCTTATTCATTGTCCAGCTTTCACATGCTAGGAGGCATATGAAAGTGGATTTTGCCACTACATGATTTTATTTTTGTTTACTTTATATAAAACTGTTTAATCAGAAAAGCAAAATAGTATAATGAACATCCTTATTACCTATCACTTAGATTTAGGTGTTAACATTTTGCCATATTTGCTTCAACTGTTTTTTGTTGTTTAAATAAAATTAAATTTGAGACATCATAACACTTCTCCACAAACATTTCAGTCTGTGTCTCTAAAAATTAAGGACCTTTTTGAAACAAACACCGCAAAACCAAAACCTGTTGCTGTCCTAGATTTCTACTCATGGTGCTTCCATAGGGTTTTCTTGGTTATAATCTTTATGGAAACAGACCGCCAGGCCTTTCTTCCATGGTACCAATGGATGGGTTTGAACTATCAACCTTAAGTTGAGTAGACAAGTCCAAACTGCTTGCACTGCCTTGAGACATGAAACAACCACACTAACAAAATTAATAATTTTTATTAATAATTTAATGCTACCCAATCGAAGGGTTTCATTGGCTAATACTTTGAGGCAGGACACACCCAGTTTCAAGAAAATGAAACTTAAGAGAGTGGAAATTCCCAAACAGGCACTCCCCCTCCCCTTTCCTGTGCTTTTCTGCTTCTGTATACCTGCTGGCTGGCATCTTTAAAAAAATAACCAATCACCCTATACCCCATATACCCTGGAACAGAAAATGATAAAAGCCCTGTGTGGCCTTTGTTAGGGGCTCTGTCTCTGTATGTGAATCCGCAGAGCTGGGTGTCCACACAATAAAAGTCCTTCCTTTTTCACCATCCTGTTTGGCATTAGCGTTTCCCTTAGCGGCTCCAGTAACACTCTGAGAAGTGGATGTCTTAGTCTGTCTTAGTATGGAAGCCCCATTGAAACCTGTCCATCATGAGTGACTCTACTGGTATTTGAAATACAGTGGCATAGCGTCCAGCCTCACAGCAACATGCAAGCCACCACAGTACATAAACTGAAAGAAGAGTGGTGATTTTCAATTGCCTCATATGCGTGTGAAATCTGGACAATGAATAAGGAAGACCAAAGAAGAGTTGATGCTTTTAAGCTGTGGTGTTGGTAAAGAATGCTGAAAATACCATGCACTGCCACAAGAACAAATAAATCTGTCCTGGGAAAAGTGCAGCCGGAATGCTCCTTGGAAGGGAGAATGGCCAGACTTTGTCATTTCTACTTTGATCTGCACTGAACACTTTCCCTTGTTACCCTCCCGAGAGGGACCGGGTCTCCAAGAGCAAGGTAAGCACGGGCGTAGCACAGAGTAGCAGGCCGGAAGAGCAGGAGAAAGGGGTAAAACCCAGGGAGCCAAAGAGAAGAGCAATCAGCCGAAGGGATTAGGTGAGGAGGGGAAACTCAGGGACACCCC